TGGCGGCGACACGCAGCACCTCATCTATGGTGGTGGTCGTGAAAGTCTCGTCGTTCACGCCGGACGCACGCAGCTGCTGCAGGGCCCGCCTAATGGAAGCCGTGCGACCTGCCGCATCACCACTGTCCCTTTCATCATCCCCACTGCAGGTGTCGAATGGGCGGATAAAACGGCGGGCGTATGTGCCGAGGTCCTCGGCGGCGCGTAGCATGAACTCATACTTCAGCGCATACTTTACAGACTTCTGCGCTGGCCGCGCATGCATGCCGTACTGCTCGAGGAGATACATAAACGCCGTGACAGCGCCCTTGATGGCGCTGGACGCACTGCGCGTCTTTGTTGCGCCGTGTGCGTGGATGTCCGCCGCAAAGCACCGCTCCCCATCGCTGTCACTAGGACCCTCTGCAGCATCAGCGTCAGCATCAGCATCGGGATCGTCACCTCTACCACTCATCAGCATCATCTCCGTTGCTGAGCGCAGCACCGTGGCAGATTTGGGTGCCTTCTCCACAAGCCACGGCAGCAGCACGTCGTAGAACACCTCCTCGCGGATGAACTCTGACCGGTCGCCCGGTGTGTTGCCCCGCATCCACAATGACAGCAGCAGCAGCCAGAAGGCATTGTCGAGTAGCCGCGCGCTTGCGACGTTGTCGAAACGGAGAACAGAGCACGACATGATCTTCTCCGCCGTCTGCCAGGATGGGTGGTACGACAACCCTTCGCTGCCGCGGTTCACCACAACAACGCTGAACACCTCCGGTGCGCTGCGGTGCAGCAGCAGATACACAACGTTGACGGACTTCAGCCCTGCCCACCCGCTCGGAAGCAGCAGCCACTCGCCCACCGCAAGGCCGTCCACTGTCGCCACCGCCTTCTTGACGACATTGAGCACATCCGCTGGCTCCTGCGCCTGTGCGGCCTCGTGTGTGAAGAAGTAGCAACGCCGCACCGCGACGTGCGCCCTCTGGATAGCCTGCCGATCCGCCGCCGTCAGGTGGCGCAGCAGCGGGTGAGAGATCTCCGTCTGCCCCTCCTGCCCGATCGACTGCAGGAGCGCCGCGGTGGTGCCGCCTCCCATCGCGGTGGCAACGCCGAGTGTGTTGATGCGCGCAAGCGCCACGTCGAGTGTGAGAAGCGCGAGCTCCGCACCTCCGCCCTCGAGCGGGGAGCCCTTACCGTCGACGTAGGGGTCGGCCATGAAGCCGGCAAAGGCGGGCAGCAGCCACAGGCTCAGCGGCAGGTTGCGCAGCAGATTCTCGCGCTCCTCCTCCTGCTGCCGCTGCGCGGGAGCGGCGGTGTTCGCCGCCACCACCTCCGCCGCCGCGGCGCCGATGAGCATCAGCCGAGTGCTACTGCGCACGCCCAGCTCTGCGAGGGGCACCGCGTTGCTCGCTGGGTCGTTAAGCTTCGGTCGGCCGAGGAGCTTCTGCATCGCCGGCAGAACGCCCGTCTGCTCGTAGAGCTGCTGCTTGAGCTGCAGCAGCGTCGGTGGTGGCGCCGCGGGGTCGTCGGGGAGCTCGACGTTGAGCGTCTGGGTGCCAAACTTCACCTCCACACGCATTCTGTCACGCTTGTGACTACTATTACTCTGGCAGTTGTACTAATCGATGGATTGATTATTGCCGTACTTGTTGTATGTTGCCTTCTCTTTTGTCACACGCGTCTTTCGTTTGTCCTTTCCTTTCTTCCCTCACCCCCCCCCCTTTTTTTNTCTCCCTCTTCGTCCCGCTTCGTTGACTCTGAGGTGATATCGCCGCAGTGTTGCCGCTCACACTGCCCCCTTCACTGCCTAATTGTGCGTGTGTATGATCGCAAGCAAATATGTTGTGTCACTGAACCCTTCCACAGCCCACAGAGAGAGACAGAGAGAGAGAACGCAGGGGTGAAGGAGACACGAGGAGGGAGAGATTGCGCCCACTCCCACACACCTGTGTTAACAGAGGGATCACAAGGCTACAGGTATGTACGCGTATGTTTATATATATATAGCTTGATTCCTTTATAGAAACATAGGCGCATTTCAACAAAACACTGAGAGCACGGTGATTGAACAGCCCTGGCAGCAGCCGGAGTAGCAAACATTGACATATATATATATATATATA